GTCTACATGTCATACTGACAGTATGGAATCAGTCTTACAAATATAAACGGATCTTCCAAGTGACTCAAAGAAACATTATGTTGTAATTAACACTGTTAATCCCTGATGAGGCACGGTAGAATAATGGATAGCGGCTTGGATTGAGGAATCGGAGAGCCGAGTTCAAATTCCAGTCGAATCCATTACATTCACTTACGTGCTAACACTCTTGGGAAAGGTATGAAACTTCTTCTGCTCCCCTTAGCTATGGGTAAATAGCAGAACAGACCGAGTTCGATAGCCTTGAATGGCAACTTGTCTACTGCAGATAGAAATGGCAATCTCCTGCAGGGGAAAAAAGATGCCTCGTCAGTCATGTATCAAAAAATACATGATCGTTTAAGTGTGTATCACGCATAACTGACTGAATAGATGAATGGGCAAAAAGCTTAAAAAATCAATATTTTGAAGAAAAATTGAAAGCAATGCAATTTTAATAACGACAAAATTATAAAGACAATATTTATAAGTTTATCTTCTGACAATTGTTTCATTTCTTTATAATTAAAACAGTCTGCATACAATCCAGATTTGCAGCCCAACGTTCATATTTGTTGATGAATCACCGCCTGCCAACGTATTTATCGAGGTTCCAATTGCTCCACGAGTTTCCATCGGGTTAATGTCGGGTAAATAAGCTTGTTATTTTTGAAAAAAGTCTTTTCGTTTTTTTTCTTTTTTTTTTAACTAACTTTATTCATATCAACATCAGTTCTATTCGAAGAAGGTTATGGAGAGTTGGCGGGCTTAAAAATAATCTGTTTGAAACGTTGATTCAAGCTGGCTTTAAAGATCAATATTTGAACTGCTAACTTAGCACCATCTGACAGACGTCGCAATTGACTTCTCTATAATCCCACAAAAAAAAAACATCGCCTCCACTTCACCTTGTCGATATCTCAATCGGTGTGGGCGGTTTCTATCTTTGTTTCATACGTCTGGAATATTGAAGTTAGAAAAGCATATGTCCGGAAAAATCCATTCTTTTGCTCGTTTCATTCGATTTTCTTTAAGGTTGCTATTTAAAGAAGATTGTTTGGTATCCTATGTTTTACAACTTGCTTTCCAAACTAAAACCTTTTTCGAAATTTCTCTCAATAAAAGCGCTCAAAAATTCAAAAGTTTGGCTAAGATGAACACTGTATAATATCTCTCTGGATACGTACGCGATGCACCAACGAAATAAAGTCCTTAAATTTAAACTGATTTTATCAGAACTTCTTTACTGTTTGGTGATAGCTAGCAATTATTTCTTGTAATTTTTACCAGTGTATTTACATTTTTTAGGTTCATAATTTATTAATCAATTCTAAAAAAACCGTTAATCAGCCGTATGATAAATTTTAATATCAAATTTCGAAATTCAGGTTATTTGATGGAAATGGCTGTCATTTATTTACATCTACGCAGAATGAAGCCGTTTTCATAATAACTGTACAGATAGATGTCCCAGTAAATAAAACCTTAAATTGCGGTATGTATTTATTTTACCTATCGATATAGTATGAATTGGCTATGATAAGTAGTTTAAAATTAATTCGTTAAACGTCTGTACACACACAAACCCACATATACTTATAAACCAACACTGAACGATATCAACTGTGAACACAGCCACAACGTGTTGGCCGTGTTTGGAAAATTAAAACAAACCTTCTCGTCACTATAGAAACACATGTATAAAAATCTACATATTCACTTAAAAATAAACATAAATCTGTGATAATGACAAATGTATTAGAATATATAGTAATATATAGAACATTTAGACTTAGTTTATAGAGACTTTATGTTCAGAAAACTTAACACTTGTACGAATGTAAAAAAAAAATGAACAAAACGCTTAATTGCTGCCGTCTTTAATGAAATTTGTATAAAAGAAGGTTTGCTGTCCAAATACGAAATAAGCACACACACACACGCACAGACACACACGTACACAGAGAGAGAGGCATATATATATATATATATATATATATATATATATATATATATATATATATATATATATATCAAATCCTGCAAGTGAATAGGATAATCCAAGTAGGTCTTTTTTAATATAAAATATTGAAACGATGGATCCATAAATAGAGTTCAATGTATAGTATACAGAGCAATATTTTGTGTATATATATATATATATATATATATATATATATATATATATATATATATATATATATGCATGCAAGTAGATGTGTGTGTATGGGTGTGTATGTGTGTATGGATGTGTGCGTATGTGATAGATTTTATAAATATGAAGGTAAATTAGATAATAGATTTATGATGTTTTTTGTAGTATATTATTTTCACTTCTCACTTGCATGTATATATATATATATATATATATATATATTTATACATGTATATATATGTGTGTGTGTGTGTTATACTCACTCATTTTATTTCAATTATTTTATTTAAACTATTTTCTGTTAATTTATTATTTTCTCTTCTACCTTTTATATGTGTAGATGTAAAACCTTTGTGTTTATGTGTGTGTGTGTGTGTTTATGTGTTAGTAATTTAGCTGTTACTATGTTTTTTCCCAACCACAGCACACAAAAATCAGGTTAAAACTAAAATTCCCTTTCTCACCCACATATGTCTTCAATGATACAGATCCCCAGAAAAATAATTTTTCTAGGTCAAGCGTCTAGAGTCGGTGTTATTTTGCTTTCTAAAATATTCTGGGTGAATTCCAATTTAAACTATTTGTAATTTCGGTCTTAGAAGACAGGTGTTAAAAACTTACCCGTTGAAATAAATTGAAATTTATAAGTGTCTTTTCGATGATGCGTTAAGTTTTTCCTTGAATATATATATTTTATATATATATATATATATATATATATATATATATATATATATATATATATATATATATATAAGCAAATATATGGATATAGATCCGGCAGTATGAAGAAAAAATATACGGAAAAAACAAACAAAAAACCTAATATGC